CTCTCTCTCTCTCTCTCTCTCTCTCTCTCTCTCTCTCAACCTTTCCTCCTCTCCTCCCTTCCTCCTGCCCTTCTCATCACCCTTCCTCGCTGTCGTCGTCGAGGAAGAAAATCGTATTTATATCCCATCTCTCGCGCGCCCAGGTAAATATTACGAGCAAGTGTACGCACCTGCCGCTACGAGCTATGACAAGCGACTTCCACAACGCCGAAAAATCGACGCTCTCGTTGCGACACTACTCTCACATGTCGACCTGATTCGTCCGTGCTTAGATATTTTTATACTCGCAAATTCAGAGCACAGCAACAAGGAATAGTTGAACCGGTAAGCTCAGAAACTACTCCGGTTTACTAATTACAAGAGAGGTGTGTTAGTAGTTTATGTCCGGGATTAAAAATTAAAATAGTGAGATCAAAAAGTAGATTAAATATTCTGAGCAAAAGAAGTAAGTTTTAATGCCATCGTAATATAAAGAACGACTTTTATTACAAACTCATTAATTCATACAGCTGCAATTATTTATAGATACTCCAGATCTGGCTTCTCACATGATATATGATTGATGGAGATGTATAAAGTTAAACATAATTATATATAGTGATACACGTATCTTAGAAAATGCAATAACGAGGATATTTACAGATAAAACCTTTTAATCTTGGATCAAAACTATTGTAAATATCTTGACAATATTACACATTTTATATATTTGACTATTTTTACTTTTCTTTTGCCTACATCTTTCTGTTATATCTTTTTAACGTTCGAAGAATTCAAGCGGTTAAAATTACTTCTAATGGATAATTTTGCGACACGATGCTCACGGAAATATTGCTGGATCTCTCGAAACACCCATTCGCAGACAGGCGCATTTTATTTCTCATTACGAACGCAAATTAATTCGAACTCTGACATAAAGTAATATAAAATCCGTTCAATGATCCGATCAACCGATCGATTGGACCACCCACGGTTCTTTCCGTTAAGTGCGCACCTTCTTCGAGGGGATTTGAACTAAGGGTGATCTCGCTCCTAGTTCCCTTCCCTTGCCTGACTATTCATAAGTTCTCTTAGAACAGGTGCGGACTGCTTCTCTTCTCTCTTTTTATTTTTTTTTGTTTCTATCTCGCGCGCGAATAAGGCAGCAGGATCTAGAGCCAGACGGCAGAGAATCGAGGTGGAAGAAGCTTACCGTTGCTCTCTCTAGGAGGGTGTCGACTGGTTCTCCCTCCTCGGCTATCCTGCGAGATGTAATTTTCGCTGTATGCCGAGATTAGAAGCCGGCTCGTCGGGGCTCTCTACCCCCGGTTCCGCCCTCCTGATAAGTATTGCCTGCCCTGTGCCAGTCTCCTGCTG